ATTTATCTATTTTACATGTATTCTGAAAGTTTTTTAAAAGAGCAGATGCTAAAAACGTTTTAATATTTTTCCAAATACGAGTTATTTAATAATTTCTTAAGATGACATCATCAAGTTTCTGGGAAGACTGAGGGTGAGATTCATAATGGTCACTTAAGTTTAACTCATCCTTCACTCAAATTCAACTCACTTGACTTGAAGGTGAGGTTTGAGTCAAAATTGTGATTGCATTTATCGTTGTTCCTTAGCGAAACCTTTATGAATGTCAAATTAATGAGTCAAGTTCGAGTTGAGTATGAGGTTGTTTCAAAGAACGACTATGAATCTCACCCTAAGTTAAGGAACAACTATGAATACAATAATAATTTTGACTCAAACTCAATCTCACCTTCAACTCAAGTGAGTTGAGTTTGAGTGGACAATGATTTAAACCGAAAACCGAAACATTGCAAAATCCCAGAACTGAAATACTGAAAAACTGAAAAATGGAAGGACAATTGAAAAATCGAAAAAGTGAAAAAATTCAAAACTGAAATCTTGAAAAACTGAAAAATGGAAAGAAAATTGAAGAATCGGAAAAGTGAAAAAATCCAAAACTGAAATATTGAAAAACTCAGAAATCGAAAAATTGAAAAATCACAATTGAAGAAAGAATTGAAAAGTCAAGAAATAGATAAATGGGAAAATAAAAAAATCAGTTAATCGAAAAATTGAAAAATCGAAAAATTTAGAAACGTCAAAAATTGAAAACTGAAAAATAAAAACATTTAAAAATCGTAAAACTGAAATATCGGAAAATTGAGAAATCGAAAAATGAAGAAATTCGAGAAACCGAAAATATGAAGAATCGAGAAATCAAAGAATCGATAAATTGAAAAATCCCAATAGTAATACATATGTCGAAAAACTGAGAAATCGAAATCGAGCAAAACTGAAGTATTGTAAAGTTAATAAATTGAAAAACTAAAAATTTTTGAAAAAAAATCGTATCAAAAACTAAAAATTCAAAAAATCGAGAAATTGAACAATCAAAAAATCAAAACATTAAAATCCTAGCAAGTTGATAAATAGGAAAATTTAAAAAACAAAAATTTTAAAAATCCAAGAATTGAACAACAACAAAAATCTAAGCCTGAAAACTCAGAAAATCGAATGATCGAGAACTCAAAACATCAAAGAAAACAAAAAAATCTAAAATTTAAAAATTCGACAAATTGAAAAATCATGGAACTGAAAATTCGAAAACTCGAGATAGTGAAAAATCTAAAAACCTAAAACTTTAAATGAAAAATTAAAATATCGAAAAATTTAAAAACCGAGAAAACACAAATCAAAAATTTGAAAAATTAAAGAAACGAAATATTGCAAAATTCCAAAGCTGAAATATTGAAAAACCTAAAAATGGAAGAAAAATTAAAAAATCGAAACAGTGAAAAAATCCCAAACTGAAACATTGAAAAATTGAGAAATGGAGAAATGGGAAAATCAAAAAAATTGGTCTAAAGAGTTTAGACAGTACTTCCTTCGCTATCGGAAACGTGACGACTGCATGCCAAATATTGTTTTTTTTTTCACATTAGATTTCAAAGCATTAGGTTTTGTAGTTCCTGATTAAATCAATAAAATAAGTTTGCGCATTCATTAAATTTTTTGAGTCACCCTGTATATCCGAATCCAAAAAATATGAATGGAATGATAAATTACAAGAAGAGACTCATCATATTTTATACAATTTAGATAGGATTTATTTAGCAAAATTTTGGGGTGGCGTCATCCATTTTTTAGGAGGGATGAGCAAATATATTTTGATCAAAAATTTATCATGCTTATGATAAATTTAAAACATTTCCAAGATTTCAAAGCATTCGGTTTTGTAGTCCCTGATTAAATTAATAAAATAAGTTTGCGCATTCATTAAATTTTTTGAGTCACCCTATATATCCGAATCCAAAAAATATGAATGGGATGATAAATTACAAGAAGAGACTCATCATATTTTGTACATTTTAGATAGGATTTATTCAGCAAAATTTTGAGGTGACGTCATCAATTTTTTAGAGGGGATAAGTAAATATATTGTGATTAGAACGGTCCTGGTTTAATAACAAAAAAATATTGTTCGTCTATGAAATAAGCTCGTCTTAGACAAAGTATTCGTAAAAAAAATATGTCGTAAAAAAATGTACGTATGCTGGTCCCGACTGCGATTATGGTTTAAATATTTTTTAGGAAATCCTGTCATGGATGTAGAAACATTTGTGACAGCCAAAGAGGTTTTTTTGAGAAAATTATCTTTGAATTTAGACCAAATTGAAATAGACACTAGGCAACAGACACATTTGGGCAAAAGAAAGAGAAATTAGGGTTAATGCTTCAAATTTTGGACGTATTTACAAACTTAGACCGACTACAGCAATAGCTAAAACTGTGGAGTCTCTGTTGTACAGTACATTTAGAGGTAATAGTCATACATACTATGGACAGCAAAGTGAGGAAAAAGGTGTCAAGTGTTTTGAAATAAATAAAAATATAAAAACTGAACGGTGTGGCTTGTTTATTTCAAAACAATTTCCTTACTTGGCTGCTAGTCCAGACAGGGTTCTAGATGATAGGAGTACATTAGTCGAAATTAAATGCCCTTCAAAATCGCAAGATTTGTCTCCCGAAGAAGCGGTTAGAAAAAAAATAATCAAATTTTGTACATTGACAGACAGAGAATTGAAACTAAAAAAAAATCATGATTATACTTTCAAGTCCAGGGACAAATGCTTGTTACGGGTATTTCACAAGTTTATTTTGTTGTATGGACACCCAAAGGAATAAATATAGAAAACATTTATAAAGACGAAGAAATATATGTAAAAAATGGCAGATAAACTTGGCAGATTTTACTTTGGCGCATTATTGCCCGAAATAATTGATTCAAGAAGAAAGAGCGTTTGCGAGAGATTTTTTTTAAATAAATAAAATTTGTTTCTATTTTTTATGTACTTTAATAATTTATTAGGAGTACATTTTTCATCACATTGCATATTTTTATTATAAATATATTTTGAAAATGATCTCTCGGCAAATGAAAACATATACGAGCACTTTTTTCGAGTAAACAATGAAGGGAGAAGTTACTGGGCGTAGGGCTTTTTTAAAACACCTCCTTTCTGGGATAAGTAGTAGATACACTTAGCTACTTATACGTGTTAAACAAAAGCTGTGTTTTATATATTTTTTATTATTATTATAAATATGTTTATTAGTTTTATGAAGTAACAAAGCAAAATATATATTAACAATAATATTACAATGAATTTTTAGTAATCATGTGTATTGAATTCAGGATCCTGAGTGGAGTAAAAATATTATAGTTCCCCAGTTTTTTGATAGTACCTCACTGCGTAAAAGTTAATTTCCTTAACAATAGATTACAACGGCCGGTCCTTCCTTGCCATAAATTAGAAAAATCAGTCGAGAACTCTAACAATCAGCTTATGGTAGAGCAGGCGATAACGGTTTTACCTGGAAAGTCGCTTCCGTAAATTTTAGTGGCGCTCCAATCGGCAAAGTACTGAACTAACTGCTCAAATTCTGTTGAATTGATACCCATTTTTTTCAATAATTGTTAGTTTTTATTAAAAACTCTGCTAACCAATAGATTATTAATTTTCCTCTGATATTCCTGTTAAAATTATTCGAGGTATTTTGCATTAATTTGTGATATATTTTGATTTTAATAAACACATTATTAATATTATTATTTAAACAAATTGTATCACTAACAAACATTTAATGACTCTGCGCCCTGTAAAAAGTGATGTTATGACTCAAAAAACTTGAAAAGAAAACATACAATGGTGCTTTTTTTACGATATTTCTCAGCCATATTTTTTTAATTGATTGAACTGATCTCTGCACTCTAGAATATGAAAAAAGCTGCAGTTTGATGTAGATACATCTATATTAATATCATTTTTTCATACAAAAAACCAAAAAAATATTATACCTCGTCTAGCGAGTCCCCTTAAGTGAAGACTAATATATAAATCTCACCCTAAATGTACAAATTTAACCAATATTCTAAAACTTCGTCAAATTTATTTTCAAAAATTCGAAAATTTAACGTTTCAAACACTAACGCGGCTGAATGTATCAAAGACAATCAAAATATGTCAATTTAACTGATCTAAATAATTAATGAGCGCATGCTATATACTTAAACTAGAATAATTCAAGCGAATTTTGTACGAGAAGATTAAGAGTAAAACCCGACGTTTTCCGCCAGCGAATCCACACATAAAAATTGTACACACGCAACTTTGTCGTTGGTTGCGTTTCAAGAATAGTTCCACAACCCCATTATAACGTTTTTTTTTTAATTATGAGTTACCCGGACATATTGTACTCAAGTGTAAGCCGCTCGTAATTTCACCAACCCCTCTCCCTCCTCCCATTTTTCTCCCTGTAGCCGTCCTCTGGGCTGTAACAAGTGCGCATCGGTCCGCGAACGCCCCAGAATGGGGCTTGATTGAATTGAGAGCTCGTTTCCGCACGTTAGATTATCTAGATTGCGGATATATGCCTTGAATGCGAGAGAAACTGGATGGCTGCCTCTCGGCGAGTTTTTGACGCCGATTCGCCGCCAGCCCAATCAACTAAGCGTCTTTAAGCGTCTTCGGGCAATAAACAGGTGAACGAGTGGGCACCGCCGGGACGCCGTTACTCGGCAGTTATGCAGATTGGACCGCATCAGTATTCAGATCGAGCACTTTGCGCTGATTAACGCCAGTTCTGATGATGCGGTGTAAACAGGGGCACACATTCATCCTCTGCTGACGAAGAGCTTCGGATACATCAAATAACGTGTTTGTGATGCTTGCAGACGCCGTAATCTGCCGACTTGACAAACACATTAACAGCGAACTGCGACTTGCGCCGCGCTGGCAAGGGGGCCGACTTTAATGCCCCGTGGTGTTTAAGCGAAATTCCCAGGGAGGCGAATGAATGTGTAAAATAAAGATATATTTTATTTCGAAATATTTGTATGTAGTTGTTTTTCATACATTTTATTTTTATTTTCTGTCGGGCTCATCCAGGTTTAAACTCGCAGGATTCAAAGCCTCTGTAAGCTGATCCGGAGCCTGGGTTGTGGCGGCGCAAAATTTAAACTGCCCCACGTGGCACACTGCTGTTAAGAGCGGAATAACTGTCTTAACAATCTCGCAAACTTTGTCGATAGCTGAGCTTATTTTAGTGGCGTGGGCCCCCATTGAGTTGCCGACTCGGCTGGCGACTTCCCCGAATCGTATCAGTTGTCTTCGCTACAAAAAAATGTCAACGTACTTAAACTATAATTTTAAAAGTTACCATCCATCCGGGTTCTTTTTCTTCAGCGTTTTTGTTTTCCGGCCATTTTGTCTCGATTGAGTCGCTTCGGATGGGATAGGCTGGCGAACAATCAACATCTTTGGAAAAGGCGCACAAAACGGCGAAAATTGTTAGATAGAACAACACTTTGGGGATAATCATGTTGATGGTTTTGCTGTTTTGGAGAAACTAGGTAATATGAATAGATTTGTGTAAGGAAGTGTTTTTCCGGGATTTGGTGTACCGCAAAGACAAGACATGCTACTTGATTTGTTTATTTTGGTACATTCAATTAATAGTTAATTATTACATGTTAATCTTGCTGGACTTGGTTATTTTCGAAATTCGGCTGACGGGCCTGAGTGGGTGGTAGATTATTTTGCGGGTACTGAGCGGGCGGTTGGTAGTACACAGGTGCTTGTCTATTTGGCGGGTAATTTTGATAATATGGATATGGGTTGACGTAGTAGATCTGCGGCGGTGGCGGTTGTTGTCCACCCAACAGTCTACACCCAGCAGGTAAAGCCTTCTTGCCCAGATTCAGAGCGTTTACTCCCTAGAAATTACAAAAATAATTTAATACAGAAAACAAGTTGTCTACAAAAAACTTACCAGCTGGTTCCAGTCGAGTGGTTGCGGGGCCGCCAATATTTCCGCAACGAAAAAAATGCTACACAAAATCACCAATTTTACACCCATGATAAAACCTGGACGGAATAATTTTTTATTACTAGCTCTGTTGATGAAGAAGTGATGGGAGCTATTACAGTCGTCTCTTTATATAAATTGTCCCAATGATAATTAAACGGAAGTTGAGCCATCATTATTATCCTAAACCAAAAAAAAGATAACTTGTACTATGCTAATGTCAGGTCATATCTTGGTTTGGGTGGTCCCTGATAGTTTACGCAGACCTGGTATTCATTGTTTACGATGACGTTACTGATATGGTGTGGTGGCTGAGTAACTTCCAAATTTTTTTTAGAGGAAAATGTCACATAATTTGTGTATTGAAGTTCATATTTTGGTGAAACAGAAACATTTTTTTTTTGAGACAACATATTTTTGAAATTTGTTTCTAAAACAAACATGTTAGTGGTCTATTGTAAGTTTTCTTTATTGCGCAATATTATTTTTCTTTTGAAAGAGGAAAGTTTGTCCCATTTTAAGAACTGTGTATTTGTTGAACGTTCGATTTTTATTTTTAATTTTTTTATCTGAAGAAAATTAATATGAAACATTTTAAATAGGTACTAGATCAACACCTAACACCAGTGATTGCACCACTTACTTTTAAAAACTAATTAATTACTTTAACAATTATTTTTTGCACTTTGAAAATTTTGATGAGGAGACAATTTTAGATATTTGTTTTATAGGTACATTATTTTTTCTAACATCAAAACGTGTTTCAAAACCCTACGTTTAAAATGTTGGCAGTTAATTTTAGGTATCCTGGTAAGAAATCTCGTGTATTGTTGCTGGACGAACTGAGATTTTTTTGTAAATTATTTAAAACAATTTTGGGCGACTTTGGTGTTCTATTTTTGGAAAATTCTGAGCTGACCTGTTTTTGAGTTAATTTTGGGAGCCCGTTTTTTTTTGAAAAATTTAAAACAATCTTTAGGTTCTAGGTATTCCTGTTTAGAAAGAATTTGAAAGTAACTTGGAGCCTCTAGAGTCTTTTCTTATAATAATTTAATTAAATTTCTTAAACGATACGTCATTTGCTAAAATCAGTCTTATCTAAGGTACTAACCCCATCCACACGCCCTCTCTTTTCTTAGAGGGTACCTCATTTGCCAAAATCAGTTTTATCTTAGTAGGTACTAGCCCCACCCACCCACCCTCTCTTTTCTTAGAGGGTATCTCATTTGCCAAAATCAGGCTTATGTTACAAAGTACTAGCCCCGCTCACCCACTCTCTGTTTCCTGAAAGGGTATTGTAGTGACCGATTTTGAATTAAGATTTCGCGCTGAAAAAAAATTAACAGCGGCGCGAAATCACATTTGAATAATTTGAATTTGAAAAAATCGTTAAACATAGGCAACCATGTGCACGTTAACACTTTTTGGGTAGTTGGTAGCTCTCTAGGGGATTCTAGTTAGAGGGTTGTCATTGTTGTTTTGGTTTCGTGAGTGAGAGCATGATGTAACGACGTGGTGAGTTAGCTTGGTTGGTCTAGTTGTCTTGGTAGTTAATAAAAGGGAGGAAGTCTTTGGTTAACGACGTGCAGCTAATTCTTGCGGCTTTCTAATCGAAAATTTTTGACCGACGCTAAAACGTTCTGTAAATTTGATTCATTGTTTGTAAATTCACAGTTCATGTTAGGATTTTAATCGTTAACTGGTGCTAACACAATTTAATAGATATTAGATTTATTTTGATAAATACTTGCTCGGAGATTTTATGAAATTCACTTAATCAGGACTCAGTGGTTTGTTTCTCAGGTTATAAATAAGTTTCTGGATGTATATATGTACTTAAGTGTTACATTATAACACTTCTTAATTTCTCACACAAGATCCCTAATAGTTCATTAAAGGCAGTTAAATCAATCTAACGTTGCCCCACTCTGAGAAAAGACCGTAAAAGTAAAAAGCGGAATTCATAATTTCGCGGACTGGCGGGGGATTAAAATAATTTCTTCCCTTAAGCAATTATCATCGTTATCATCATTACATCACCGAGGTATTTCCTCGCAACGTGGAAAATTACATCACCGAGGTATTTTGTCGCAAGAATTATTTGTTGTTTAAAATTTCAGAAGAATGTATGGCGAACATAACTGTTGTTTATTGCTCCTTTTGAAACTTTGACACTTGTTCAGTTGTAGTTTAATATCAGAGTTATAAGAATTGAACATATAAATGGAATTGAGGTTAAATAACACAGAAACATAAATTAAGAATCCAAAACACAGAAACACGTCGCAAAAGCGGAGGGCGCGGTTCCTAGTCGAGCTGAAGAGAAAGATGTGGAAAGAGATTATATTTTGTAAAAAAGTTCACAAATGAACCACTGGCAAAAACTGGGTTTTACAAATTATACAAAACATTTGCCAAGATTGTTTTTCTTTCTTTTATTAAGTACAATTTTAAAGCAAATTTCAAAACCATAAAGTGATATTTATAGATTTTAGTTTAACTAATAACAAAGTACCACGAATATCAACCAAATCCCAGTTTATTATTCAGAGAAACGCGAAGCCGTTAAAATGATATTTGAAAAGTCCAAAATCGTAAGTAAACTTATTCTCCTCAGCCAAAATTGTCGTATTACGTCTACGACAACGACTCCTGACAACACCATGCCAACTCGAGGGGTGCCTACATCGCAATCCTTTCCATCCGACTAAAGGTTAATCAGGCCTCCAAATCAAAACTGCGTTCCAACTCTATAGGTTCCGCGTACAATAGCCCTTTAACATTTGATTAAAGAGCAAAAGGCAGCATTCATCTCTCGTTAGAACACTTTCGTCGGCAGCTCGGATAAATAAGCGTCGCGCCACTCCAATCGGACCATGTCATTTCATTAATTACTCGTAATTAAAACCCTTGTTGATTGGAGCAAACGGTGTATTTATCTAACGACACGGAGCAAAATCTCTCCCTCGTCCTGACAAGTGCCGTTTTCGAAAGGAGTAGGTTCGCCGCGATGGGTAAACAGCGCATCGCGATAATTCCATTAAGAAATGAACTGAGCCAAGAGCTTTGATGGAACAGACTGGTGCGTATAATTTCCAAGTTAAATAAATGTTGTGTTAGTCGAAGTCGGAACACACGAGCTTGAGTACACAGAGGCGGACTCGGCCATGCGAGATTGTATGCTAATGCCACATGCACACTCTTATGAGTTCTTGGGTATCGAGCCGGCCGCGGATCGCGCACCAGGGGTGCAGCACTGATTAAACATTGTAATAATAATTCAATTATTGGGGAGAAGTTAAAATAGCTTAGTTCAGTGGTACAGCAACAATATGTAGAAAAAAGAGAATTTATGAGCTTACTTTTTGTTATAATCAGTTTAACAACCTTCCAACGGCAATTTGTCTACTCGAAGAGCCATCTCATTAAACTTTTTGCACAAAATTGGATTTGCTTCGACTCGATTCATTTAATAAAAAAGTTAATGTATAATATAGCATCCTCCCGCACGCAAACGTTTGACGGCGATCGCGAATGGCTTTAATTAAATCACACACGGTTGCTCAAGTCCAGTTAAATTGAAAATAAATTAGATATGCCTGCGCTTTAAAAACGTCCCTATTGATGAGACGAAATTGCTCTCCATACCAGCAGGGGCTGTATAAATAGCAGTTTTAATATCAATTTCCTAGGTCCCTCGTCCCGCTCTCTCAAAATTGAATTTAAAACACGATGTTAATCGTGTGCCGTAATTTTGTCAAGCGTCAACCTCCTCTTCCACGATACATGCAAATCAGCGACGTCGTTCACTTTTGCTGACATCTAGCTCAGTGTGTGACTCTTTAAATGCGTCATGTTTCGAAATTTAGTCCTCGCTATGACACGATTTTCCCATCTACATTATTAACACCTATACGATGGAAATATTAGAGAAAATTTGCATGCATGAGAGCCGCTTAAATGACTTCAAATGCTTTTAACTCTCTGCATTTATTACGGGCGGCGGAACGGCGGAATTAAGTCCTAATTAGAAGTGCTCGGAACAGAAAATGATAAAAATATTCTAATTTTATAAATCAAATCAAAATTATATACGATGTCATAGCAACAATAAAAAATTGACATTAGAAAAATGCTGTTTGACAGCATGACAATGAAGTCAACGAGATGCACGGAAATGCACGATATAAGAACCAAAAAAGCAATCCGCTAGCAATTCCAAACGAGCGTGATTTTGGTTGTTCTTTTGAGTAATTCTCGTTCGTTTTTATAACATTCATTTTGTATTGGAAAATTTTATTTTTGAAAAAGTTGTCCAAAAATTCTCAAAAAATTGGGAGATATAAGGTAGATCCCGACGTGCTGATTCCAAAAATATAGCGTGTTTAATGTCACGGAAATTGTAAAATTCGAAATTTTTGAAATTTCCAAAAAGCGATATATGTAATTCGATGCGCGATTTTGAGAAAAAACGGACGCAGATCTCGACATGCTGATTCCAAAAATACAGCAAATTTGGCCGAAATTTGAAGAAGGGGGGACCATTGGAAAAATTTCACTTTTAAAAAAGTAGTCTAAAAATTGCGAAAAAACTGAGGGACGTAGATCTCGACATGTTGATTCCAAAAATATAGCGTGTTGATGGTCAGGGAGCAACATTTTCGAAAGAATCGGTTTGAAACGCGAATTTTTGAAAATTTCAAAAAATTTCGATATTTGAACGGTCGATTCCGGAAAAACGGTTGCACTTATCAATGAAACGATGCCGGAAGTGAATTCTCGAGCTCGAAAACTACAAGAATATGTATTTAGTTAAGTTTCGAAAATGTCAAAATTTGGCCGAAATTTGAAAAAGGGGGGACCATTGGAAAAATTTCACTTTTAAAAAGTTGTCTAAAAATTACGAAAAAATTCAGGGACGTAGATCTCGATATGCTGATTTGAAAAATATAGCGTGTTGATGGTCAGGGAGCAACATTTTCGAAAGAATCGGTATGAAACGCGAATTTTTGAAAATTTCTAAAAATTTCGATATTTCAACGGTCGATTCCGGAAAAACGGTTGCACTTATCAATGAAACGATGCCGGAAGTGAAATCTCGAGCTCGAAAACTACA